TTGTGCGCTGCCACAGGGTTTTTGATTTCTTAATTCGTGTGACATGCAGGACTCGGTGAGCCAGCAGCCTCCATCCCATGTCTCCGAGCTTGACTGGATCAAGGAGGTCTTGGAACATGGTTTGGAATTGCTCGAGCCGCTGGCCCAGCTGGTGGCGTTCTGTAGTCTTCAGTCCTTTCAGGGACTTCGGCTGCGAAAACTGATCTAAGTCTAAGTGATGCTGACTGGATCTGTCGATTCGCCGTCTGCAGGTCGCTCTGCAAGGAGGTGCAGGAGCTGGGCGCGGTAGGAAGGTCCGTCCTCGTGGGGCCACTGGAAACCTTAGGCCCGGGGCATGTGCAAGTATCCCTGGCCACTGGCACAGAGCAGTCATCGCCTGGGCCCGGAACGCGTCCCAGAACGCCTCGAAGCCAACTCGGAAGCAAAGAGTCAACAGACAAAGAACATCTTCAAGTCAATTGCGATGCCAGCCCGGACTTTTCGGCTTCATTCTGTGGTTCAGTGTGCAGTTCCACGAAAGTTCACACAAAGTTCACACTTTCGGTTTCCAAATACATGAGCATGGGAATACCACAATATACTTCCTTACCCGCAAAACATCATCTTGCCGTGGGACGGGGTAGGGAGTTTCTTGAGCCTTGTTGAACAAGCAGTTTTATTGTATAGACAGAGTGCGGGCGATTCACTCTACTCATCATTGCTGACGATGGAACTGTGACACAGCTCTCAACAACTCCAGATAACCCAGGTCAAAGTACTCAGTACAGGAGGCCTAGGCACTTATAGGCAACCAGCAGAAGTTCGCCCGAGAGGTCGGCGCTGGCGCTTGGCGCAGTTGCATCTTCTTATGCCAGTGGCGCGGCTCGCCCAGAGGCTGGAACCCTCCACGGCTGCCAAGAAGCTTGAGGAGCTGATCCACTCCAGAGGCTTCGACGCCTCGCAACTTGCCAGAAGAGGACTGAGGGAATACGATCGTTTCCAAGAGGACAAAAGCGAAAGAATCAACTTGGAGCAGCCCGGGCCAATGCTAGACGAGGATACAGCTGATGCCATGCAGACACTGGTGAACTTGACAGTCAAACTGCATGGTCAGCGGCGGCCGTCTAGAGAAGATGTTGATGAAATCCTGCGGACGATGGGAAGGCGCAAGGGACGGCGTGCAGGTCTAGTGCAAGAGACCTTTCGTCTAGCCAGCGACCTGGCCACGCATGGACTTAAAGTGCTTCGTGCATCCAGCGAGGAGGATCAGGCTTTCCTTGCTGAAGTTAGAGACGCTCAGCTTCAACAGGATGTGGAAATGTCGGCCTCCGCTGCGAACAAACTGTTCTTCCGCCACCTGACTCCCGATACGGAGTCGTGTGCGGCAGTCATCGAGGCTCTGTTTGCTTGCGGCGCTGCGCCTGCTGCAGAAAGCATGCTGCTAAGGTGCCAGTCCGCTTATCCGCCCAACCCTGCTCTTTACAGTGCTGTCATATTTGGTCGATTGTATTGTGGTGATGGGCAGGGGGCTGTCGATGCTATTCTGGAGATGGACAGAGCAGGCTTCGCGCCGCATCAGCGCTTCATTCTACGGTGCCTGCGCTACATGGGTGCGTTCCACAGAGAAGCCTTGTTGCTGATAGACCGTCTTGGATTCCCCATGATGCAGCAAAAGATGCTGCACATCTTGATGGAAACATGCATAGCCTCGCCGCAGCCCAGCGCTTGCGTGTTGGACGTATACCACAGCTTGCTTGCGAAGGGCTATAGTCCAACTCCAGATACGCATTTCGCTTTGCTGAAAGCCCTCTGTGGCATCAGTGATGCCCAGTGTGCCATCGACGAACTCCACAAAATGCAGACGAAATGCATTTTGCCAGAGTTTATCGGTTTCGATCTTCTACTTCTGGACTGCTTTGGGTTGGCGGCCAGCGCCCGACGTGCAAGTCAGGTTATCGAAGCTAGGCGCCAGTGGGTGCTAGAGGTGTCAGCTGCACTTCTGTCGGAGCCAACAGACCACGTGCATCTGATATGCCAAGAGCTGCAAAGAAGACATGCAGACTTCGACGGCTCGTTTGAAGCGAAGTTCAGGGTGGCTAGAGGAGAGCAGGAAGCAGCTGCTGATGCAGTGTGTCGGCATGAGGTGCAGGATGAGCCTGAAGAGGACGAAGAGGTAGATGCGGAGGAAAACATGCTTAGACAGCAGCTCTGCTGCAAGAGACTGAGGGGGGGGCTTTGCATGCCAGCTGCCTCAACTGAATTGCTGGGCAGGAACTGCGAAGGGTGGTTCCGACTTGGAAGTAGTCGTGTACACGTCTACTGACAACATGTACAGTGTACACGCAGTCAAACAGAAACTTCTGAGACTCGCAGGGCTTCGGATGAAGTTGCAGACCAAGATCCCGAAGCTGAGTGCTGGTTTGGCCCACGCTACAAGTATACCTGGGTGTTGACTGCCTATTGCGAAACTTGGCTCCAAACGTGCCGGATACAGAAGCAGCCACAAGCAAGCTCAGATATCGAAGATCTAGCCAAGCTGGCAAACTATCGAATCTATCTCAACACAACCCGAGATGTTTCAGATTGTTGCAGCGACCTATGAGTTGAATGTTCCCTACATCTGCTGAGAACATCGGAGCCGGGTGGGTTTGCCTTTGAACTGCATTCAGGGACAGGTCATGGGGCAAGGCAAGGCATGACAAATCGACTCTGTTGAGTCGAGTAGCTAGCATAGTGCAGTACAGTGGATTATGTATGGTTCGGTTGCATATTGGGGCTTGTCGGTTCTGTCACAGCACAGAAGCCGGGGTCTCTCAGTCGAGGCGGCTTTGCCCTTACGACTGGCAGCTCTCAAAGCTTCTCATTACCTGGTCTTTCGCTACAGCCTGGTGCGCTCTGGCGCACAAAAGGCGGCATTGCAAGAAGAGCTAGACAGAGGCATGTCGCGGGACTATGCTGAGTTGGCTTCTTGTTAGCATCTGTCGGTGGTGAGCTTGGTGCCTCTCTAGCCGCTAGACTTGCGTTATAGTGAGGCACGGGAGTTACACCAGAAGCTGGAGCTGGATGCCTGGAACTTCCAGGAGCATCTTCGACTAGGCTCGGGCATGCTGGCGCATGTCTCGAATGAATCATTCAGGTTTAAGTGTCTCGCCTGGCTCGGGGCCGCACGCGCTGGTTGACTGAAGCCAGAAGTATCCAATGCTTCCGAACGCTTCAGTGCTTGCTTGCTGGTGACCGGGTGAGCTGAGTCAGTCAGAAATTCTGTTTTATTCATACTTGTCGTGAATGCTTGTCGGAATGGTTTACTTGCCCACCTCCATGGCTTGAGTTTGCAGGTCAGGCAAGCACAGGTGTGCTGGAAGAAGGCTGCTGGCAGCCTATGTCTTTCATCCTGCTCATCCTGATGCACTTGGACCAGTTGGAGGCCGGGTGGGACAGTAGACGGTGACGTAGTGCCGGTTGCCGGCCGTAGTGAATCTTCAGATATCGTCAGTCTTCCGTGAATGCTTCACACAGGTTGTCGAGGGCACACAAGTTCGCCTTCTTCGCATGCTTTTCCGCTCCCTTCCGGTGGGGGCACGCTGCCTGTCGGAGATGCATGCGGATTTCCTTCAGAAGCTCGGCAGACCTGAAACGCGCATAAATGCACAACCTGCACCTTGGATGTCTCTGAAGGCTCTTCTGTCACACAGGGACACAGCGGACCCGGAAATAAGCCTGAAGAGCACATGTCGGGGCAAGCAGGTTTCAGTAGGCAAACAACTTGACAAAGCATTTTCCTTTTGCGTGGTCCGAACGACGAAACCGACAGAGCAATTAACCGTATCTCGATATGTCTTGACAGCCAATCACCTGGTGCAACGGAGAGATTCATGAGAGCACGGCACCGGCTGCGAGGGTCACAGCAGCGAGAAGAATGAGAAGATTGTCGGCTGGCCGTGAGCCCGGTCAGCCAAGCCAAGCGCATCGAAGACATGAGAGAATGCTGGAAGGTTTCGAATGGTTTCTGCCAGGAAACTATTCCAATGATGTGTCAAACTTTGAAACGAGTCACCCTGCAAGCTGATGTGCCTTTGTGATCCTTTGTGTAAGTTCCCACCCCTTGCACGTGAGCGGTGCTGTGGTGAGCACAAAGAGAAAACCAGCACAAAGGCCAGTGACTTCTTTCCCTCAGCATCCGGCCTGAGATCTCTGAGTAGCCGTGGAAGAGAGTTTCAGGGGCCACATTGTGTTTGTCTGTGCGCGCCTCCACTGAGGAGGAGAGCTGGCCAGCTATCTCCGGCAGTCTTGACAGAGCTCATCCGCGCCTGTAGTGTTTGTGACGGGGGGCACAGTCCCTTCGGCAGCGATCAGGGCCGCCGAATGCTTGCAGACACCGTGAGGCCAGGCAAGTTTCAGACGGTTTTAAGCTGCGTTTTGCCTTTCGGCGATGTTTCGGCACGTGGAAAGGTCACGATTTCAGCAACCTGAGGCTTTAATAATTGAGACAATGTGCTGACTGGTTTTGATATCAAAAAGTGTCAGGGACCATTACCTGACGCGGGCTCCGGGCGGGGAGCCCATCAAGCTGAGCACTTCCCTACGCTTCGTGCGAACGCATGAACTCGCAGATCTCATCGCAGACGATGTGCTCTTCATTCCGGTTCTGTGTTCCTTACAGGACGGCCAACCTCAGCATGCATACAATTTAGGGGAGGGTGACCTGCAGCTTCAGCTCCGTCTTGTATCCTATGCTATCTGCAAGGGAAAGCGACTGGCAGCCGGCCGCTTAACGGAACGATTCGGCTTGCTTGACCACCTGGATGGCATCACAGAGGTACCGGGCTGGTCGGAGGCACAGGGCCCCTTCAAGGAAGTCTGCACTGCTTGTGTGCGGGAGGCGGAAGAGGCGGAGGAGAAAGAACTCAGAGCTGCCAGTGACCGGAAAATGGCCGCTGCGGCGGAAGAAGATGCCATCTGCCTGCAGCTGCCAGAAGCGGTGGCAGCGAATGTTGTCCTTGTGTCCACAGAGGCAGAGCTGCTGCACATCCGTGCTCGCCTGATGGCTTTGGCTGATGTGTCGCAGCCGGCCGAGCCTAGCGTGGATCATCTGATCCATCGTTGTGGCAGTTGTATCGGCCTAGACACAGAGTGGAAGCCATTTCTGGAGAAGCGTGGGGGGATGCAGAAGCATCGGAGGAGCAATCAGTCTGCAGCATCTATGGAACCCTGCTCGACTCTCCAACTGGCCGCCGAGGATTTCATCGTGATCTTTGACCTTTTGGCTTTAGCACCAGCAGAGAAGAGCACAGCGCAGATGCTATCTACTGTCTTGGCTTCCTTGTTTTGCCATCGCGGGATTGTCAAATTGGGCTTCGGGCTGCAAAACGATTTGCAGCGCCTGGCGGCATCCTATCCTCACTTGGAGTGTTTCAGGCGGATACTTGGCACCCTGGATCTGCAAGAAGTCCTAATGGAGGCTCGGCGCAGCAAAGGCCAAACGACGGGTTTGTCGGCTCTCTGCTTGGAGTTCTTAGGATCCCCGCTCAGCAAGCGCTTGCAAACAAGCGACTGGGGGGCCAGGCCGTTAAGTCGTGAGCAGCTGTCCTATGCGGCTCTCGACGCTCATTGCCTTCTCACTTTGGCAAGGAGACTGCACGCTTCCCCAGAATCTATAAGGATGTTTATGCAGCTTCAGGATCTCAAGGTGCAGCTGTCGGCGGGGAAGATGGTGGTCAGTGTGGGCAACGATGCAGAAGAATCCCCTTCTTTGGCTGTCGACATGGAAGCCATCGCGAAAGTCAGCCAGGACATCACCTCTAAAGGAGCAGAAATTCGTGCCATGAAGGCGGCTGGCAAGGCCAGAAATGAAAAGAAAGACTAAATTGAACCCTAGCGCCTGCTCCGGTGTCCGACCTGTGCTGAGGCCAAGTCGGCATGGCAGGCAGAGGTCGCAGTCTTGCTGCAGCTCAAGGCTCGATTCCGCCAGCTGGTGGCCGGGCTGTTACACATGGTTGGTTGGTTGGTTGGTTGGTTCGTTGGTTGGTTGGGTTTGGTTTGGTTTGGTTTGGTTTGGTTGGTTGAGTTTGGTTTGGTTAAGTTTGGTTAAGTTTGGTTTGGTTGGTTGGGTTTGGTTTGGTTTGGTTGGTTGGGTTTAGTTGGGCTTGCTTGGTTGGATTTGGTTGGGTTTGGTCGGTCGGGTTTGGTTGGTTGGATTTAGTTGGTTGGGTTGGGTTGGTTTGGTTTGATTTTTACTTGTGTTGGTTGGGGTTGTTGGTTGGTGGTTGGTTGGGTTGGTTTGGTATGATTTTTACTTGTTTTGGTTGGGGTTGCTGGTTGGTTGGTTGGTTGGTTGGTTGGTTGGGTCTGGTTGGTTGGCCATTGGTTGGGTTTCGTTGGTTGGGTTGGGTTGGGCGGAATGAGTTTGGTTGGGGTGGCTGGGTTGGGTTGGGTTGGGTTGGGTCGGGTCGGGTCGGGTCGGGTCGGGTCGGGTCGGGTCGGGTCGGGTCGGGTGGTTGGTTGGTTGGTTGGTTGGTTGGATTGTGTGTGTGTGTGTCAGCTTCAGAAGCACTCTTTACAGAGCCGTGCCTGCTGAGGCTGGGGTCGATTGGGTCCCGCCTGTCTCAGCAGGGTAGCAGCTCCATGCAGCACCCAGCGCGGCTTGAGATATTCGCCATCCAGAGCCGAACCTGGGCATCTCCGTGTGGTGGCCGGGAGTGCCGACGAGCAACGACGTCGGCTGACCAGTGACAACGCCGGCAAGGCGAGCATCCACAACTGTCGGCCTAGCACATCAACAGCCTGCTTGCGAGCTTGGCTGTCAACTGTGAACGAGGAGCAGCTCCTACGCCGTTGTGCCGCGATGACAAATCGAAAGCAGCGAGGGCTTTCGGCTGCTTCTTCAGGCTTAAGGGTTTTCTTTTTGGTCACACATCTGTTGTGGGGCCCCCTTGCAGGCACAGCAGCTCATCAGGCAGTTTCTTCGTTGTCTTGAACTTACTTGGTAGTTCTGTCTTAGGCCGACAAGCATAAGTATGCCCGATGCAGTCCCTTGGGCTCGAATGCTGTGCATTTCTGAATGCGCAAAGCATGCCATTGCGGAAATGAATCTTGTAAACTTGTAAACCATACACCAACTGCGGCACCATGGCCCGGTGTAACACAGCCCGTGCTCAAAATAATCCCATCGGACGATCAAGCACATCAAACGCTTTCCGGAAACGGGGTGAAACAAGCACGGGAATTGTACTCGATCAGATGGTCCAACGCCTCCGAAAATCTCGTTGAGGAAATTCGGAAACCAGATGCTGTCTGTTCAGGGGTCTGGGCATACGAGGCTTCTTCCCGGCATACGCCGAGACGAGGTTTTGCCGATCTTCCACGGGCAGTTTCGTTGTGCTTGTTGGGGCGGGGAGGGGACGGGACGGGACATCACAGCTGTTCTGCAGTGTGTCTCGGCTCGATGCAGGCCTCGGCTTGAGCACAGGACATAGTCCAATGAGTCTAATTAAGGTATACAAGCTGGACTAACGCATCTAGTTTCGTGCGTTCTCGATCGTCATCTCACATACGTCCAGCTCGCTTCCCAGCACGTCACATGCAGCTGTCTCCTACAGTGCCTGCAGTGTTGGACTTGGACCGTCCTGGGAGGGCTTATTGGCGAGACTCACTTGGCTCCGAACGAAAATGTGCCGCGAGGTGTAGTGACGCAAACCTCCTCACTGCTATCTTGACCATTTCTTTGCCAGTCTGTGTCACTGTGCAGAGGAGAGGCGTAGGTGCTCTCGCGGGCCCACGTTGCAGAGTCGCGGCGGCTGCTTCCAAGAAGTCCTCTGGCTCGCTTCGAACTCGGCTAATCAAAGGCCTGCGGAGCAAAGATGCACCGGATCCCGTGGCCGAGTTTCGGGCCTTGCGAGACGATCCCTTGGCTTCCTGGTGCTTTCTGAATGATGCCCAATCTTCGCAACGAGCCGCGTTGGCTCTTGTTATAGCATTTTTACCAAGCTTTGGACTGGTGTCGAAACTTTTTCCTTTTGCCAGTGAGACCGGCGAGCTGCTTCCCCGCAACATTCTTTCGGATGTCCTTTACTCGGCAAGCTTGGCCTGCAGCATAGTTGTGGCAATCCTTCTTTGGATTGGCTACAAGCAGGTGAAGGTCAATCAACTGCTACGTGAGCGTTCAATCTACTTCGAAATTGGGGGAGGTGGTTACTACCTCAAGCAGAAAAGCAAGGATGCTGTGAGAAAGGATGCCCTCATCCAAAGATACGAGACTGCTCCTGGAATTGCGCGGTTGCGCAGATATGTGCTCTCCGGGCTTGTTGTTGCTGTTGCAACCACAGGAGCCGGCCTCGTGACGGGTGGGGAGATCCATAGAATCGAGCAAGAAGAAGATGCTGACAATGGACTCGATTAAAATATTCATATGATAATCATAATATCCCAGTTGCATATATTTTTGCAACAAATGAAAGATCGGAAATCTGTCGCCATTATCATCGACAGATATCCAATATAATCTCGTTAGATAAATTTCCTTAAAGATTGAAATATATTTGCTTCTAGAAAAGAGGAAAAATTAATATAAGAAATATTATGCATGAATAAGCGTCTATCAGTTTCTCTCTCTATATATTTATGATTTTCTTCTTATAAATGAAGTGATAAATGTATACATATATAGATCTATTTATTTATTTATTCATCCTTATATGCGCACGACGGCTGCCGGAACGAAAATCTCGAGATATTGGATCGTTGGCATGCCGGCGGCTGGTGGGGTGAGGGCATATCGCGGAATGGCGGGCGGGGAGGAATTTTTAACGGTGAGCGCCACACGTATCGCGGAGCGGGAATGGCCATGGAATATTATATGATAAGAATAATAGAGGATAATTGAATGGGTCATTTCATCGATTATTTCGAATGAGTAGGAATAAGAAGAGATTCGGTCGATATAAATGATATGGGATTTTCATAAATAAGAATATATATGATAAAATTAGAAAGGAATGGTCGAGGGGACCTTTTCGGAATAATGAATAATAAAGATTTTTTATATAGATATTATATTAGGATAGAAAATTTGAATAAAGAAATTCGAGAAGAGGATCTTTTAGAAATCAATAAAGAAAATTAAATAAATCAAAATTCTCGAATGGGTATTGCTGTTTGTGCTGCTTATTTGATATTCTATAAAAAATTAAATAAATATTAAATATATATGATTGTTGTTTAAAATAACATATATCTGGGAACGGCGAAATGTGCTAACTTTCGCGCAAAAGTGTTTTCCTTTCGCGGTTACTTTAG